CAAGCTGAGAAGATGCTCAGAGTACACAGGCCTGGCTCATTTGTGGGACTATACTGCAACTTGAGATCGGAAGGTTAAAGTTACGTGGAGTAACTCGGCCACACATGCTTGAGTATCGCATGCTTTTTCTTACATTAAAAACTCCCTCTCCACATATATTAGATAATAGGAAAAAAGAGAAAAAGCGTTTAATTCAGTGCATCCAATGTATGGGAAGTATATCTGACCCAGTACAAATGTCTACACGTTCTGTATATTCTTTGGCCTATTGGTCTGGTTTTCAGCCTCTGTATACTGTATGATAATTAACTTTATAAAGTCTTACAAGATAAATAAATGAATCTGATGCTGGAAAATAAAAGGGGGATAGAGGGTGGGGAAGTGGAGGTGATCACTATATGAAATAAAAGTGGGAGCAGTACACAAAGAGCGTATTGGTATTCAAGCTAGATTAAAATAAAACAAGTTCATCTTTACAAACTCACTAGTAAAATGGGACAGCAGTGAAAAACAAAAGTCTAAAGCTAAAAGCAGTTTAAATGGACAGGAAAAAAAAATCAGATTTTTTTAATCATCATCCAAAAAAAAAGCCAGAAATGAGGTGGTGACAAATACCTATAATCTCAGCACTTAAGAGGCTGAAGCAGGACAATCCCAATGAATTTTAGCCCTGGGGTACATAGCGAGTTCAAAGACCCCCTGAACTGTATCCAAAAAAACTCACCCAAACCTAACCAAACAAAGTCCTCCAGTAGAATAATATCCCCAGCCCTGATCAGTTATCATTAAGAGTAAGAACAAAGGCCTTTTTATATGTACAAGTACTGAGAATTTATTACCTATACATAACCTAAAGAACATCAAAGAATTACTTAAACACAAAGGAAAATGAACCTAGAGAAGTGGACACAGAAGGTTGTATTTGGGATGGGAATCATAGCTGAAATGTAAAAGAACGTAATTGTTGATTTTGCCTACTCAATATCAGCTATGATACAAGAGACAAATTATTGCCTCTGCAAATGTTTCCATTAGACACTGAAGTTGTAACTGTCATAACATGCACAGAAACCATCAGGCTGCCTGCGTGGGATGCCCAGACTCGCACCACAAGAATCACAAAACATTTAAAAATGAAAATTACACATTCACATGCCATAATTAAGCCTATATTTAGGGGTAGAAGAAAAAGAAGGCTCAGCTTTTCACTTATAATTGACCATTTGAAATTCCAGTCAGTGTTAATACTCAGAGGTAGACAGAATTCCCAGTGTTATTCTGGAATAAGTGACTTCAGTCTCTAAACACCCTAAACTTAGACTGAGGTGAGCTGGTCAATTACCTTTGACCTTTTGTACCCTTTCGGCTTCTTTCTGGAATTACAGGGTTGGGAGATTACAACCCTTATCACGGAGACCAGTACTTCTGCAGCTCTGACAGGCAGCCTGCAGGCCAGCTGACCTCTGCCTTCAAACACCTTCTTGTTCGAGACCTCATTTCCAACATGCCATTTTCTGCTTATCTCTGCCAGTAGCAGTTTTCTCTGTGTGAAGTCAGGTGAGTTATCTGGTGAAAACCCTTGCTCAAATGGATTTTAGCTATGAAATTTTCCCACTAAAGGCAAAGCTCTTATCCGAGACATTTGGCACTTTCTAGCTCATTACCCTTTGCCCGTAGCTGTGTCGTCGAGCGCTCTCCCAGGATGTTTAAGATGGGGTCCCTGTCCTTGGGGACTAGGAGCCCACAGCCAATAGCACTGGGCCAGTTTACAGGGTCTCCATGGACCCATGGGAGCCGAGAGTGGAGACTCGTTTGACTTTGCAGATTCAGCAAGGATGACTCGAAGATCAGATTTCACAATGAGCTGCATCTCCTCAGCAGTATCTTGGGTCCTCTGCAGCCCCCACCAAGCCTTACTGTCCACAGCAAGGTGGTTCACCGGTATGAATTAATTCAGCAGACATTAGACTGCTAATTGGAGTGGGCCTGCTACCCATTGGGCTGTGTCCTGCTTTTTTACTACCTGCTAGTGTGTCTTTTGGAATTTAGACTTCAACACTGCACACCAAAGAACATAATCAGAAAGACAACACTGCTTTCTTTTTTTTTTTTTTTTTTTGCCTTTTTCCTTTTTATCGGTACCAGGGATCGAACTCACGACTGCTTGCTTGCAAGGCAGGCACTTATGCCGCTGAGCTAAATCCCCAGCCCCGACAACACTGCTTTCAAAAATCACAAGCCCCAGGCTGAGTGATTCTGCCTACTGTCATCTTTTCTTTTTCAACTATTGAAAAAGAAAAACCAAGGAAGATTTTTGTGATCTACTTGTGGGAAAGGACTTCTCAAATCTGATGTGCCAGGTGTGACCCCCCGAGATGAAGGTGAGGCCATGTTTCTACAGCTGCCCTCACTAGAAACCAAAGGGAAAAGTGCAGGAGACACAGAGAGGGCTCTGCTTGCATCAGAGTCCTGCTGTCACCTTGGCGTGGCAGAGGGTGCTTGATGACTGTCTTTACCTTTCATCTTCATACACATCAGTGTCATAGATAAATAAGTCAGGCCATCGCTGCTATTAACACATTCAGAGACCTTATGTGACCTGTCCTGCCCTTCAAGACCAGTTCGAGACAGGGTGAGGCTTAGACACGTGCCTTCTCCGAAGCCCACTGCTTATTATACCACTTACATCCACGTGGAGGAGAAATGGGCTGACTGAGGAAACCATCGTGAATCCCAGGGCCCTTGGGATCAGGCATCAGGAATGTGCTCTGTCAGCTGGTCAACCTGCGGCAAGCAGTGTTAGCACGTGGGTTTCCTATGCTGAGAGACGGAAGGGTGAACTTTCCCCGCGTGATTCTGGGAGCACCTGGGATTCCTGCTTGTTCAGTGGAGACAGCTGTGATATGCTCATGCACTTCTCCCCTTAAATAGTAGTTTGGATTCCTAGCTCTGTGTTGGTATCACTCCGAGCACTTAAAAAACAAAAATAACCACCCATGCCCTCAGATCCCAGGTAGTCTGACCCAGGTTGTCTGGGCCTGGGAAGCATCTCAGACGATTTTTTTTTTCAGGGTCTCATTATATAGTTCAGGCTGACCTTAAACTCACTGTGTAGCCCAGGCTGGCCTTGAATTTACAGCAATCCTTCTGCCTCAGACTCCTGTGTGCTGGCACTACAAGTGTGCACCACCACGCCCGGTTCAGATCATTCTAACGTGCAGTCAGCAAAAGGTAACCTGAGCTACAGATGAAGTTAAGCTTCTTCACCTGGTTCTTGAGAAGGAACATTGCCCTGTTCTGCTCATCAGAAAGGTTTTCTGAATGTCAGTCACCAAAAGTGCTTCCACCCTGCACAGACGCACCGTACAGATTTCTATCCATCAGCTGTGCTGACAGGTAGTGGAAGGTTTGGCAATCAGCAAGCTAGGGGATCGGGACCCCCAAAAAAATCCTCATTTGGGAAAGCAGGGAGAGAAAGAAAAAGTGTCACAGAGTGGATCCCCAAACTTTGCTTCCTAAGGAGAATTCCTGGAGAAGTGTGACTTGACTCTTTAAGGAGACAGCAGCTGCTGGAACCTGGGAAGATGGGGCCACTGCCGAGCAGCCTCTCCTGGGAAGGGGACACTTGGAACCGAGAGCCTCTTCAGGGATTGAAGGAGTAATTTGTCTAACCTAGTTCTGCTAACAGTGCTGGAGCAGAGACTTTGGGTCCCAAACTGTGCTCCAAACCTCAGAAGAGGTTTCACCTAGAGGACATCTGTCTTTTGACTCCTGAAGGATACATGAGAGTGAGCTGAAATTATCCTCAAAGAAAGTTTTGCATTCTTTTGTCTATATGGAAATCAGTGAGGAATTCTCAGACCCTGATCACCACAGGTGAAAGGTCACTTGCAAAAAATCACCTAGAATTTTAAAAATAATCTAGAATTTAAAAAAAAATTTTTTTTTTAAAGAGATGGAGTTGGGGCTGGGGATTTAGCTCAGCAGCATAAGTGCCTGCCTTGCAAGCAGGCAGTTGTGAGTTCGATCCCCGGTACTGATAAAAAAGAAAAAAAAAAAAAAAAAAAGAAAGAAAAAAGAGATGGAGTCTCCCTCCTTCCTGAACCTTCCTCCTCCTCTTTCTATTCCTCTTCTTTCTCTCCCTCCGGCTGTACTACAGAGCTGCGCATCTCAAGTCTGTTTTTTGTTTGTTTGTTTGTTTGTTTGTTTTAGTTTTTTGAGACAGGTCTTGCAGGCTGGTCTTCAACTCACTTTGTAGTCCAGGCTGGCTTCAAACTCCCAAGGATCCTCCTGCCTCAGCCTCCTGAATGCTGGGATTACCAGCGTGTACCATCACACTGGGCTCAAATCCTTTTTTGAGGCAGTCCTAACTTGCCTAGGTTGGTCTTGAATTTGCAATCCTTTTGGCTCAGTTTCTTGAGTAGCTGGGATTATAGGCATGTGCCATCACGATCTGTTCAATTCTATTCTTCCTAAAGATTATTTTGGTGATTCTGGGTCCTTTAAATTCCTGTATGAACTTTTAGGACCAACTTGTAAATTTCTGCCAAAAGAACAGCAACCAGTTTAGATTTTGACCAGGACTGTGTTAAATCTGCAGCTCAATTTTAGGAATATTGCTTCCTCTTACCAATACTAAATCTTTTGATCTATGAACATGGGATATCTTTATGTTTAGTTTTTTACATGGGTTCTTTTAATGATTTTTCCTACTTTTTGGGTTTTTTTTTTGGTACCCGGGATCAAATTCACAACCTCATGCTTACCAGACAGGCATTTATGCCACTGAGCTAAACCCTCAGCCTCTTTGAATGATTTTTTTTTTTTTTTATTGGTACCGGTGATAGAACTCACGACTGCCTGCTTGCAAGGCAGGTGCTTATGCTGCTGATCTAAATCCCCAGCCCCCGTTTTGTTTTGTTTTTGAGACAGGGTCTCAATGCATGCATCAGGATGGTCACTGTAAGATCACCGTCGCAAAGAAGACCTCAAGGAATCAGTTCTCATGAAAAATCAAGGGGTTTTATTATCCACGCATGCGTGGGACTCTCCGATCGCACTCCGGTGGGGAGAGTGCCCGGCTAGGGGAGTGCAGAGTATATAAAGCCGAAAACCGCAAAGCAAGCGTTGGTTACAGAAGCAGATGGCATTGGTTAATAGGGGTCGTGTCATTTGCTTATTGGTGGGTGAGTTATCCGCTTGATGTTTTGAAAACTCATATCCTGTCTGGGAGGGACGATAGTTTACAGTGTTCTTATTTTTTTGGGACGTTGGACCACAAGTTCCCTATCAGGCCAGAACATCTGGTTGTTCTGACCATGTGACAAGGCAAGAGGGGGTTTCTTAAATGTTTCATTCCCCCCCTTTTTTGTGAAGATCTCTAATCCTAGAGATTATTAGTAGGTACTGGGTCATATTGGTATCTCAAGACCATCATCTTTACCTGGGAGACCTGTGATCGCACCAGATGTGTAAACTTATTTAGAACGCAAGGGCCAATGGTAAGGAGTAAGAGCAAAGCAGCTAAAGGGCCTAGGAGGGGGACAACATAAGGAGCTAGCCCTTGCCATAGGGAAGAGAAGGATGTCCCCAAAGAGTATTTTTTTTTCTCTAGTTTTGATATTTTTTCTGAGTTTGGACATGGTGTTTTTTACTATGTCTGAATGGGCAACATAAAAACAGCACTCTTTTTTTGAGCGACACATAGGCCGCCCTCCTTTAGGAGGAGTAGGTCTAGTCCCCTCTTGTTTTGGAGAACTACTTTAGCCGACAAGTCTATTTGGTCTTGAATGACCTGAATGGTATTAGATAATGTCTGTATATCACTAACAATCTGGTTGGAAGGTTGGACAGAAACCCCTACTCCTGTTGCCCCCATACCTAAGGCTCTTGATATCTCTAAGCCTATCAATAAGGAATAAATTGAATTGCCCTCTTTGAGTGGCCTGTGATGTAATCTAAACTAGGAATGGGGAGAGGCTCATCCCCGGGTAGGATCTCTGTATCAGGCAACAGGACAGCTGTTACATATATCCCTGTCCAGTTAGTTGGGAGGAAAGTATAGGCCATATTTCCTCCACAAATAAATACTTGTCCTGTGGCAGGATAAAGGAGGTAGTCCGGTTAACTATGGAACTACAATTAGTAAATGTAACGAATTCCACGTCAATGTTGGAGGTATCGTTATGAAAACCTCCTTGGAGACAGAGAGAGTCCTTGAAGTCTACTGGTTGTACTCTATAGGGGGGACCAGCACTACAATTTAAGTAATCTTGTTTCTCCAGTGTAGCCAGAGAAACACTGTTGGGGATGGCAAGGCAGATGGGGGAGCCCTGTGCCATGCATAACCAGCAATTCTTCAGCCAAAGTTGGGTTGGAAGCATTTAAGGCTTTATGAGTGGCCTCTAGAATATCATAAGTTTGAGCATCTAGACCAACTCCCCGCAATTTAGGCAGCTTATTTTTATTAGCAGCTTGACTCGTTTCTCAACCACCAGAGTTTTTTGATCTTATCTTGTGGCCCGCCCCTATCAGACACATGTATAGGGCCACCCTGCTCCAGCACACTGATTTATCAACCATGTTGAGACATGAGGCTTGGGCATACTTTGAACTTCCTATCACTGTCAGATTTGTTGACCAATCACCTTTAACTCTTTTAGCCCTTGTCCTCATAAGCTCAGCAGTGAAGTAAGTTTTGTTATCTATGCCTATTCATTCTTGTACAGAGTCATAGCAGGAGGAATGCATTTTTGAATACTAAGAACAATTCTGAGGGCATGGCCCTGGCTGGCTGCCTTTGTTAGGTATCACACAGGGCTTTATCATTTACATCCACCTTTTAGTCAACCCCCCTGTAACTGAGGGTATAGCAACAAGGAATGTTAACTTGTCCCCACAATCTGTCCAAAGACTGTATGTATACAATTTATCATTTGTGTAGGAAGGATCTTGATCCTTGTTTCCTATTGTATATATAATTCCCCCCAGTTGGTGTCTTTACCTTTAGTAATATAGCCCCCTCCACAATCACAGGAGCTCCTACATAAAGATCTTAACAATTGTTCTTTGCTTACAGGGGGACCAAAGCCGCCATGCAAGGTCAGCATTAATGTTATTAAAATCAAAGCAAGCAAGCTAAAACAGTTCAGGACCAGCATAATCTAACTATGTCTTAGTCAATTTTAACTTTAAGGGGTTACCAGTCTGCTGTGTAGTCCACTGAGTATGTCCCTCGTTGTCCACTGTTTCCAGTGGCTTTACATGAGTGTAGTGAATCCACGCAGTTTTTTCTGTTACCTTGATGGCAGTGGGGGTACTGAGCACCATGGTGAAAGGTCCTTCCCAGCAGGGTTCGAGGGAGTCACGGTGGTGACCTTGCACCAAGACTGGAGTCCCTGGCTTGATCGACACCTTGAGAGGTGTCTCTGAAGGCAGATCCGGGTGTTTTTGTCTACTCTAAACAGCTGGTGGATTGAAGTCAACACAGGTTGGAGAGTCTGCCGGGACTTAATGAGATCTTGATTAGTTATTTTAGCTAGTTTATTTTCTGGCAATCTTGGAACCAATGGCAGTGGCCTCCCAATCATGGCTTTAATGGGGGGAGATTTCAGAAACATATGGGGTACATCTAGCTCTTAGTGCAAAGGGAAGAAGGCTCACCCAATTATCGCCAGTTTTTGAAGACAGCTTAGCTAAAATGTCCTTGAGACTTTGGTTTATACGTTCTACTTGCCCTGAGCTTTGTGGCTGATAGGCACAGTGGAGTTTTAATTAATTTTTAATGCCTGGGCTAACTTTTGGGTGACTCGGGCTATGAAAGCCAGGCCATTATCGGACCCCATTGATAGTGGGAGGCCAAATCAAGGTATGATCTCATGCAATAGCTTTTTAACTACCACTAAGGCTGACTCAGACTTAGTAGGGAAAGCCTCTACCCAGCCAGTAAAAGTGTTTATTAATACCAAGAGATAGTGGTACCCCTGTAAATCAGGCTTTACCATGCCATGAAGTGTACTTTTTAATGTTCTCCTGGAACAATTTTTTTTAATGTCGGGTGGTCTCCAGCATAGAGCTCTTGGCTGAGTTGACTAACAATCATTGTGGGCATCTGGAGCTCAAAGAGGTGGTCAGTTTGTAGAGTTTTGGAATAAAAAACCGAGTTCTGAACAATTCCACAAGTTTAGTTTTCTCTAAACGAGTAGTCTGGCGAGCCCAGTGTAACAGCTCCCGCCCTAGTGCCTCCAGTAACAGTACTTGTTTATCAGGTAACTGGTACCAGCCCCCGGGGGTGGGGGACTTTACTCCAAGTTGAGATGTTAACTGTAGGTCTTTTTTGTGTAGACTGGTTCTGACAAGGTCGGAGGGACTAACATCAGAGCAGTTACTTTCTTGGTTGGCCCCTCTGTTGTGGTTGCTACTTTTCAAGTGGCTTGATTTGCCAAACTGTTCCCTAAGGTGACAGTGTCATCTCTTGTCTGGTGAGTCTTGTAATGAATAATAGCAACTCATTGAGGCAGCCAGACATCTGCCAGCAAGTCTAGAATCTGTGGAGCATTTTTAATCTTAGTCCCAGCTGAGGTTAAGAGACCTTGCTCTGATGGATGGCTCCATGTACATGTACAGTAGCAAAAGTATATCTACTGTCAGTTAAAATGTTTACCCTCCTTCCCGTGGCTAGTTTTAGCCTCTCAGTCAAAGCAACAAGCTCTGCCTTTTGGGCAGAGGTGCCAGGCTCTAACCGCTTAACCCAGAGTACCTCCTTTTTTGGTGGTCACTGCTGCCCCGGCCACTCGTTTGCCGTTCTGGATGAAGCTGCTTTCATCGATGAAATAGTTGTCGGCATTTTCCAAAAGCTGGTTGGTAAGATCAGCCCATAGGTTCTGCTGCAGTTCGAGGATGTCAGCACACTCATGGAGAGGTGTCCTTTGTTTCTCCAGGTCATCATCAGGCATAAGGGTGGCTGGGTTTAAAGCTGAAGAAGTCTTGAATATCACTGACTCTGGGTCTAGAAGCAGGGCTTGACAGTGTAGCATTCTGGCGTTCGAAAGCCTTTTTTTTTTCAGGAGGGGTTTTGATAAGAGTCTCTAAACTGTGAGAGGTTACCACTGAAATCACTTGCCCAAAGTGAGTTTTTTTGCCTCCTTAAGTAACATGGTCACAGTAGCTAGTATTCTTAGGCAAGGGGGCCATACTCCTGTCACTGGGTCAGGTCTTTTGGAGAGGTAGGCTATAGGCCTCTTTCAAGGGCCAATGTCCTGAGTTAGGACTCCTTTGGCAATGCCCCTGAGTTTATCTATGAACAAGGTGAACGGCTTGGTAACATCAGGGAGTCCCAGGGCTGGGACCTCTGTCAAGGCCCGCTTGAGCTGCTGGAAGTCCTGTTCACATTCATCAGTCCAGTTCAGTGAGTTTTGAGTTTTTCCTTACAGGAGTCATATATAGGTGAGCTTTTCAGTAAAATTTAGCCTACAGCATCTAAACGCCCCCAGAAACTCTCGTCTGTTTTTTTTTTTTTTTTTTTTTTTTTAATTTTTCTCATAGAGCAATTCTAACACCTTGGTTATCTTTTTGTTGGTAGCTTCTTGTAAATTTTCTAGTTTTCAAAGACCTTTTGTGCTATCTCTATTAACTGGCTGAGGGGCATTCCCTCAAACCTCTCAAACCTTTGTAATTTTTGTCTAACATGTGGGGCCGACTGAGTTGCAAAGAGGACAACTGGCGATACTGGGAAACCTCCTTACCTCTGGATGTCCAATCGGGGTGGGACAAAAGGAGAACATGGTTTTGGCATTCCGGATCAGAGAGCCAACTTCATTTGGATGGCACACCACTTTTTGTCCAACGGTGTCACGTGGCAGGCCATCATTTTACTGAAATTATATTCTTAACAAAAAAGAGCTTTTTCATAGGTAACAAAATTGTGCTGTATAATCTCCCAGATGTTTATAGCACATGTAAGAACTTGTATCTTATTTCTAGTATCACCTATAATCTCATTTTAATGGAAACATTTTGGGGGAGAATGCAAAAAAGGAGCAGGGCTTCTATGACTCCATGTGGCCTTGGGTGAGTCAGAAAAATGGCTTTAGGCTTCAAGAGACTTTACTGTCATCTGTCGGGAAGTTTTCACAGCACTATGTAAATCTCCAATAACTGCCCAGGGACAGTGCCCCCTAGAGGTGTGCAGTGTACCCTAGCCCAGCTGTGAAGAAGAAAGGTCTCTACACCCTCTGCTTCCATGAACTCCGTTTTTGTTTTTTTTTTTTAATCGGTATCGGGATCGAACTCATGGCTGCCTGCTTGCAAGGCAGGTACTTATTGCGCTGAGCTAAATCCCTAGGCCCCATGAACTCCTTTTGATGATTCCTGTTCTGAAAAGTCTGCTCATCTGTAGAGTATGTGCTGATCTTCTTGTGAGCTCTGCCAGGATGTATCTCAAACCTTGCCCTCCAATGTGGGAGTATGGAATGCCAAAAATAAGTCCAACCTCCCTTCACCTCTTTGTTCTACTTAGAAGCTTGCCAGATTGGGTGAGACCCACCCACACTGGGAGAACTGTCTGTATTACTCAGGTCACCAGTTCAAAGAATAACCTCTTTGGAAACACTTGCCCAGACACTCTGAAAATTATTAACTATTTATCTATAGGCATAATTGAGCTCAAATTGACACATAAAATTAACCATCATAGTACCTAGGTATTTCATTTTAGCAGGTGCTAATATAAGTATTAGTGTTTTATGTTCAGCTTCAGTTGTTTGTCTCTGGGGGTATAGGAAAATTACTGATTTTTACACATTCATCTCATGGCCTGCAGTCTTGCTAGTTATTAGATATCATTAGCTAGCTGGATATAGTGGCACATGTCTGTAATCCCAGCACTCTGGAAGGCTGAGGCTAGAGGATTGCAAGTTCAAGTCCAGCCTGGGCAATGCAATAATTTAGTGAGACTGTCTGGAAAAAAAAGAAAAAAAACCCCAAAAGACAAAACAAAACAAAAGCAAAAAGCAAACAGACAAAAAAGGAACCTAGGATGTAGCAGAGTAGTAGAACTTGACTGGCACAAGGTCCTGGGTTTGATTCCTAACACTGCAGAAAAACAAAGTGAGGATTAAAAAGCGCAGTGGATATAGATGGGTGCAAAGGCCTTGGGTACACTCTCCAGTACACACACACACACACACACACACACACACACACACACACAAAATGGTAATTAGCTAATTAGTTCGAGGAGCTTTTTTGTTAATTTTTCAGATTCACTACATAAGTGATCATGTCAGCTGTGAACAAAGACAGTTTATTTTTCTTTCCAAATCTGTGTATCTTTTATTTCTTTTTAAGAAATCCTAATCCGTTAAGAAGTTAGGATTCTTGATGTTATAAAGCAATGGTAAGACAGCATATCTTTTCTTATTCTTAATCTTACCAGGAAAACTTCAAATTTTTACTATTAAAAATGATATTATCTGTAGTTTCTTTGTTTTTAGTAAATGTTCTTTATCAAGTATACCCTCTGTTTCTCATTAAACAAACAACAACATGATTTTGTTTTAGTACTGAGGATTGAAACCAGGGGCTTTGCCCTGAGATACGGTTCCATCCCTTCTTCAGTTTTTGCTTTGAGACAAGGCCTTGCTGAGTCGCTAAGTTGCCCGGACTGGACTTGAACTTGTGATTCTCCTGCCTCAGCCTCCTAGAGTGCTGGGTCTACAGGCACGAGCTAGCAAGCCCCATATTTCAGCATCTATGCCTGATGTGATCAAGTGATTTGTTTGTGTTGATAATGATGCTCAGATTTCACTAACTGGTTTTTAAACATTAACCAACTACGTATGCCTGGGATAAAGCCCACTTGGCCATGACATATAATTCTTGTTATACACTGTCGGATTCAGTTTGTTAGTATTTTATGGAGGACTCTTGCATCTAAACTCATGAGAGATTAGTCTGTTCTTTTCTTTTCTAGCACTATTAGCCCAAAAAGTCTGTTAGGAAGTCTTCTTTGTCTCTATCTTCTGTAATAGATTATATAAAAGTGGTGTAATTTATTGCTTGAATGTGTGGAGGTTGCTAACTACTTATGCAATTTCTCAGCAGCAATAGAACTGCAGTACATTAGCAAAAAGAGCTTCATTATGTTTGTCTTATGCCTAAGTTATATGACCAAAGTACCTGTAATGCCACTGTACTGTTCTGTGTGTCTTTTTTTCTGGGTGACCTAATTGATATGTTAATCAATGCTCCCCTCTGTAATGAATTGTAAATCCCTGGGAACCTGATCTAATTGATATGTTAACCATTGCTGCCCTCTACAAAAAACAGATGTTGTGCTAAAATAAGTTGACAAAGGATTGTTAATTCCTTCGAGACTTCTCTGTCCTCTGCAAAGGGAAACAAAGGTCTTCCTCATTCCTTAGCAGATTTCCCGATCCACGCCTATAACCCCTTACTTTGTAAACTGCTTTCTACAAAAAGTCTGGAAAGTTTTGAGGGAGACACACAG